TTATTATATATAATTGTATTTAAATGTATAAAATATATATAAAATTATTATAATTAAATATTAAATATTAAATTATATAATTTACATATAAAAATATAAATAAATATTAAATATGAATTATTTACGTTCTAATAAAATATGAAAATTAAATGAAAATGATTATAAGTTATTATTATGAAATTATTATTATTACTACAACACATTTTTTGGTCCAAAAAAAAAAAAGTTGGTAAAATCATTTACTCAGCTGTGTAGATGTTTCTTTAGTGGGGTGTTTTTGTGTTTCAGAAGAGAGAAGCGTTACGTCAAAAAAAAAGTTGGTAAAATCATTTACTCAGCTGTGTAGATGTTTCTTTAGTGGGGTGTTTTTGTGTTTCAGAAGAGAGAAGTGTTACGTCACAGTTTACCCACCAGCAGTCACGGGTCACAGCTGTCCGGTGAGTCTCACCTCAACACTGACATCATATCAAATCTATTGTAATCAACAAGAAAGAAGCTCTCATTACTAAAAGCTTTCTGTGTGTGTGTGTGTGTCTACAGTGGTTCATCGGGTTCAGCCGTGGTTCCATGGGGGCGTGTCTCGAACTGAAGCTCAAAGGCTATTGGAGGAGCAGGGTCAGGTGGACGGGTAAGAATCACCAGTTCTTTGACTGGCATATACGTTTGCCATGTACAGTTGTGTTTATATAGTTTTCTCCTGTCTGCAGGATGTTTTTGATTCGTGACAGTCAGCTTCACGCGCAGTGCTTTGTGTTGTCCTTGTGTTATAAACTGAAGACCAAACACTACCTCATCATTCCCGTAAGTCTTTCTTTCTCATTGTGTGTGTTTTTACATGAGACAGTTTCATCTTGACCTCTCTTTCTCTCTGTAGTTAGAGCAAGGAGATAAACAGTACTACACTATGGACGATGGTGTCACACTGTTTACAGATCTGCTGCAGTTGGTGGAGTTTCACCAGATCAACCGTGGCATCTTACCTGTGTGTCTCAAACACCCCTGCACTTGCATTGCACTCTAAACCTTCACCTTTGACCTCTTCCTCAAAACTAGGATCTAAATGACCCAGCACCAGTCTACAGACCATGAAGGTTTTCATTTTACGACTCGCAGTGGATGTCAAGACATTCACCGTTTTCCATAATCCAAAAAAAGACTATATTTCTATACATAGTAATTCTATTTATATTTGATATACCTCTAGCACACTTTAAAGCTCTTTAATATTCTAAAAATACTCTAATAGTTTATGGACTATTTGTTTACAAGCTATTTGTATTCATCATCCTTCTATCCGGGAATGTTTCTAAACCGGAAAGTGCACAATCATGTGGGAACTTCCTGCTGTTCCTTTCTTCAACACTGGGCGGCGCACTGGTGCTTGGAATGCTTTACTGTCCAGGAATTCTTCATTTATGCAATAGTCATGCAGGGATACATTAATGCATATCTGAAATTACAGAAGGAGGCGATTTCAATGTAGCAGATTTATTATTATTATTATTAATAATAATAATAATAATTTTTTATTTTTTGTTCAACACTGTCTAATTTATGGGTGTTTTTTTCATAATACTGATGTTCAAGGTAATTGAGACCAGTTTACGTTTGCTTTATTTTATATTTTTATTTACTTGACTCTATTTTATCATTGTTCAATACTTGTTCTGGTTAACAGTTGTGCTTGGTTGTGTGTATGTAGTTTCATTCTGACCAAAACCTCAAGTTGAAGTTTTTAAGGTGTGTGTGTGTG